ACACACACACAACCAAACACACAGACACACACACGCGTGCACACACACACACACACACGCACGCACGCACGCACGCACGCACGCACGCACGGCAGAGGTACAGTGAGATATGTAGCTATTATTTTCTCCCAGCAAAAAGTGTACAATAATTGTAGAAATGTATGACCAGACTATGTTTGTTACGAAAATAACTTTTCAAGTCTTAAAACAGTAGAAACAAATTTTGCAATCCACAGACCCAAAGCCAAAGTTAATAGAAGAAAACACAACATATTATCTGACTCTAGAAATCAAAGTTATTTTCAGCCATTCTCCAGACTCTCCGGCAGTTGTATGCAGGTCTCTCTCTCTCTCTCTCTCTCTCTCTCTCTCTCCCTTTCTCTCTTCTTGTGTGTGTGTGTGTGTGTGTGTGTGTGTATGTGTGTGTATGCATATATGTATGTATATTTAACTTTCTTGAAGCTCTTCTCTTCAATGATTTTGTCTCCTAACATTTTATGAAGAAGAGTAACACTGTTCAGAGTTATTGTTTTGTTCCCACATGTGAAAATGAATCTATGCTTTTAGCACTTTGGTGTTCATGTTTGGTGTATTTGGTTCATCCATTTCAGTTCATAAGGAACAGTAGATTCACACAAAATAATCTTACCACTGAGGAGCCAAATTGATGGAGTATGACTCAGAGCAATTTGTTTCATTAACTCAGGGGTCAATTAAAAACAGCAACAAAACCACCACCACCACCACCACAAAAACAAAACCTCTCTATTCTGGGCAGTATCAGGAAAACATGCTTAACTTTTTAGGACTAAGTTTCTAAAGACAGTAAAAAAAAAAAAAATCATTGTGTAAACATTAGTATCTATACAAATAAAAGATCTATTTGCCTGATTTTCATGGTTCCTTAATGTAGAAGAAGATGGGTTCAGACAACAGTAGTTTTAAAATAATCTAGTAGGCCTTGCAGAGCATGGCCAATGTTTTTAGACTGGGATAGTTTCTGGCAAGATCACACTGGGATGAGTGGAATGCCAAAGCAGTCAAGCAAAGACCTTGTTTCTGTTTGACCTGTGCTGGTCCTTTAGCTAGTGGATTTCTAGAAAAGCAGCTCACCTCTGTAAGAACGCATTTGTTTAGAAAATGTTGTAGCACGGCATTAAAATGCATGGTAGATTTTGATGGACTCTCTTGGGTTCTTTCTTGGATAAATTTGTAGTTCTCTATTGTTAACACTCTCTTCCTTTCCGGGTCTGTGGGCCTCCCATGCTTTCTAGCACGCTATTGTTCTATCTCCTCCTTCTCCTACAATCTTCCTCAATTTCCTCTTCACCCTCTCATCCCCTTCTTCACCCTCTCTCCTCATTATCTTCTCCTTCATCCCTTTGTCTCTGAAAGCATATACGCCTTCCCTTTATTAAGGTAGACCAGTGCCTCTGTTCAGATTTCTTCTTCAGAAGGCTTCCCAGTTATTTAAAACATAAATTGCTCCAATTATTGCCTGTATGCTTTAATTCCTAAAACATAAATTAGTTCAATTACTGCATGGCTGCCTTACTTCTTAAATTAGGACAGGGTTAAATGGATCTTCACATTGTTCCTAGTACACTTCTTGGCTAACAGAAAGCAATAAGTAAATGATATTGAATCACTATATCATTTCACCTCTTAGTATACAGTATTTTAATTTTTTTCTTCTTTTAAGAGCACCATAATTTTCTAAGCCATTCTATCTGAACGCAACAGTTATATAATACCATAAACCAAATAGTACATACCAAAGAGTCACCCAGTTTTTCAGATGTTTCCTCCAATGCCATGTCTAGTCTGTCCATCTCTGATGTCACCCTTTTTGCTCAAACCAGATTATCTCCTTACATATTACAGCATTTGGATTTCCTTACCCCGATGTCTTGACCTATGACGTAGCCTCCAGTTTTTGTCCTTCTAAAGCAGCTGTTTTGGGTACATTAACTTTCTGCCCAGAAACCCAGCCTGCTGTGACAGCATCAAAGTTTGCTCACTGTTTGTCCAACCAGTCTTTTCTCCATTTTTATCCAGCTGGGTATTCGTCATGTTACCAAATGGGAATTCATGGTTTTCTTTTCTGCAATTATGTTCTCTGATTTTTTTAAATCTTGTTTCTTTTGCTATTGTATTATTTATCCAAAACTGTATCTTCAGATCTAGACTCTATCTTCTGAGACCCAATGCACACATCTCCTCTATTTGACAAGCAGGAGTTATCACTCCCTTGGGAGTGCAGAGATACTGTTATGTTCCAGTCCTGTCTCCCTTATATCAAAATATAATCTGTACTTGTTTTATCATCTTTAATAAATTAGAGGTAAGCTTCTTAGGCCCAACACTATATTTTATTCATTTACTAACTTCTGTCTCATTTTGCATACCTTATAAGCATCCATTTTTGTTTCATAATAGATGAATAACTGGTAGGCATTTTTTGTGACCATTTGCTGCTTTAAGATCTCTGCATTAGGGGCTGGAGAGGTGGCTCAGAGGTTAAGAGCACTGACTGCTCTTCCAGAGGTCCTGAGTTCAATTCCCAGCAACTACATGGTGGTTCACAACCATCCGTTATGAGGTCTGGTGCCCTCTTCTGGTGTGCAGATATACATGGAAGCAGAATGTTGTATACATAATAAATAATAAATAATAAAATCTTTTAAAAAAATCTCTGCATTATTGGGTTGCTCCCTATGGTTCTAATAAAACTTCGCTGTATCACTTTTTTCAACTCTTGTTTTGCCTATATTTCTTTTAAGTGAGAATGAGGAGGAACTGGGTTCCAAACCAGTCTGGACTATGTAAGAAGACAAAGGAATATAGAATTATGTTTAAATCTCTATTTCATGAGAATAGGTTAACTGATCACATAATTCAATCTCTGGAAGCAGAATTGCAATACTGACTTTCTTGAAAGACTCTTCTTGTCTTAGAAAATTATGCCACAACTTATTTTGTTTATCATGTATTGGTACTGAGATTTTGTTGGTGACTTCCATGCATAGGATGAACAGTGTACTTTTTCCTGATTTGTACCACCCTCATGCCAGTCTGATGAAGGCAATTCCTCAGTTGAAATGCCAACCTCTCAGATATGTCTAGATTTGACAAAAATTAATTGGCACAGTAGTTAATACATCTTTTGCTAACTGTGAGCCATGTGAGAACTTAGGGTACACATAGTGGCTGGCTTCTTTCATGGTGTATGAAATGGCATTAGATTGTGGAATAGCTGCAAGCCGAACAGTGAGGTGAAATGAAAAAAAAAAAATGGTGAAAGAAGATGGTGACCCAGAGACAGAGAAATTCATGGAAAGGGGAGATACCAGATTCAAAAGGAGGAAGTAGCATTACCAACCAGGCGATTTTATCAGTAGTGTTTTCTGCCATGGATGTATAGGAATCATTCGTTCAGATAGTCTAGGTATTTTATTACTTCCTCATTCTGGATGCAAATGAGTACCTTACAGACAGCCTATGGTTCAAGTTGAATGTGGCCACTAAAGAGAGTCTTGTTGCTACCCAGCAGTAGTGAAATTACCATTTCTCTGGAGATAATAGGATTAGTATTAGCGTTAGAGTTAGATATGCAATGGCTTGTATGATTAAAAAGCCACATCTTGCTTTCAGACTCTCTATGGGTTTAAGACAGTACACAAGACAAATCTGATACAGCAGGCAGACTGAAGTCGGAAGATTGCCTACTATCATCTGAAACCTAAGCACTAGATTCTACCAGAGTTTAATTTGAATGTGCACATGGGGAATTTTTAGTTTTGAAATTTTAAAATGCTCCGCACTCGGGATTGTTTCCCATCCCACACTACAGCCATTGAACCGGATTCCCAATTTGGGCTTACCATCTGTGTTTCATCCTAATAATTTATTATAGGACTGAGGTTCTATTCCCAAATATGAAAATGTTTAACCCCCCCCCACACACACACACACACTGGTTTTTTTGCATTTGTTTTCTTTCATCCCTAGTGATTTCCAGTTAGCAATGGTATCGAGCATCCTAAGTGAGTCAAGGAAGACACCAGTAAGACCTTGAGCTTGGCCTCAGCTTTTTTATTTTTGTCTAATCGATGTCTTAACATTTTGCTGTGTTCTGGTTTCTGTACTGTATAGGGCTCACCATGGCCCTGACTTTCATAGAGTAATTATTTTGATTAAGTTAGACAATTAAAGTCAGTCTTGCATGAGGAACGGATACCACTGGGAGTCAGTGATGGATGGACTCCAGTCTTTGGAGTGTTCAGTCCTGCCAGCATTTTCCAGTTGAGTGAAAGCTCACCTCCTAGTTTGGTTTGTATGACAGTACATGGATTGTTAGGTCTGAGTGTTTTCTAGAAAATAAGTCACAAAGATATTAAGAAGGAGAGAAGATGGTATTAATATCCACATGTGTTCTCATAATTTTTCTAAAATTTTATTTGCTTTGATGAACAACATCATTACTGAAATAATTAGTGTTAATTAATATCTGTGTCATTTTTGGTAAATGGTAGTTTAGTGTTACAATTAGACTAATTAGTACACACCATAGCTTAGTGACATGACAAATCACTAAGCAGAGCACATTGACTCTTGTCCCTTCTGATATATGAGCTAATCTGATTGCTCAGTAATGACAAAAGAAAGGGACAGGGGACTGGGCATCGACAACTGTCAGACATTGTTTCCACATTTTCTGCTGGTTTTCTTGTTGCTGCTAAATAGAGTACTAGGGATTGTTGTCACTTGATGTTTTAGTTCTTTTCTTATGGTTGAATCAGTCTCCAAAACTTACCAGAATAAAACTATGAATAGGCAAAACATTAAAACCCCAAGATTCTCTTGGCAAAACACACAAAAACAAATATTCTCTTGACATTCACTGGATTTGCAAATGCTGTATTATGTTCTGTATTTCACTCTTCCAAAGAATTTACAGTCAAATTGACATCTATCTGCAACTTTGATTTGTTTTGCAGAACCTATGCGGACCCCAAAGACTTTAAAGATTGCTGAAATCCAGGCAAGGCGCATCGCGGTGGACTGGGAGTCCTTGGGTTACAACATTACTCGCTGCCACACTTTCAATGTCACTATCTGCTACCATTACTTTCGTGGACACAATGAGAGCAGGGCAGACTGCTTGGACATGGACCCCAAAGCCCCTCAGCATGTTGTGAACCATTTGCCACCTTATACAAATGTCAGCCTCAAGATGATCCTAACCAATCCAGAGGGAAGGAAGGAAAGTGAAGAGACGATCATTCAAACTGATGAGGATGGTATGTTCATGTTTGTTGTCTTCCTATGCTTAAGTGAAGGAGTGAAGTCATCAGATCTCTGTTGTCTTATTTCCTCTTAATTTCTTCTTCAGCAGCTTGATAGGAAGCCCGTGTTTCTATTTGAGTTTCAGAATAAAGGATCTAGTTTACAGACACCCACACACACCTCCGTTCATGTAGTCAGCTTAGGCTGTAGCAAGCAACAGGATGTGTGGAGTCATTCATATCAGTAAAATTTCAAAGTCAAAACCCTGAGACTTAGGAGGAGTGTGTTATTGCCCGGATTGAGTTAATCAAAGGTGACTGTCTCAGTCATTACTTTGATTGATCTCTTGCAACCAATGTGGCAACAACACTTAATCAGCACTGACGTGATTGTAAAGCTCTCATCTGCATCTCCATTCTTACCCCCACTGTAGGGGAAGCTATAGCCACGCCTGCTTAGGGGCTGGCTACAGATGTGCCTGACCACACTTGCGAGGGCGTGGTCAGGGTGAAGTAGAGGGAGACTTGAAGGGGACTTCGACTCTCTTTCGTTTCACTTTTGGGCTTGGGTACAGACCGCTGCCATGCCGGCTGGCTAGGTCGCTCTGTAAGTAAGGCTTTTCCCTATTAAATACCATTATATTTCTACCTGACTCCGTATTGGTAATTTCCCACTATACCCCACCATCCCATACACTCACACTCACCTGTGCAGAAAAGAAGAGGTAACGGTGATGGATTCACACGTCAAAAACAGAAATGTAAGTCCCACAATAGCTACAGATGTCCTGAGTATTCACACATCTTCTGAAGGGGGGTGAAGGGTTCAGTGTCCATGTCATATGAAGTAATTTATAACTCATGTTCTTAATAATAAGACTATAGACATATATATTGCTTGCTGTTAACATTTGCAGCCAGGGTGTCTTATTTTATAACATTTAGATTCGGCTACATGGGTTTTATACTTTCATTTGTTTATAATTAGTCACCCTTCAACACTGCAATTTCCTTTGCTGTTATCCTTTGATTATTATTATCTTGCTTTTCCTTCCCACAAACAAAGACAGTCAGGTTTTTATAATTTTTTTTGTTAATTCTAATATATTTTTAAAACAACATTTTGGTTACACAAATGATTATGTTAATAATCCAGTGGAATTTTGCACTAAACCGATCAAACTCATAAGAGCAAAGTTCATATTATGTAGAGTCCGTTTTATAAATTAGAAATAACATTTAATTTTAGTACAATTTTCAGGCCTACTTTTATGTTAACTTCTGCATTGAATGTGTTTTCTGTATAAGCTTCAGTTACACAAAGTTGCACGTTATTGTTTCACAATATGACTACAGCATAGTCTCTGTGGTTGTAGCCCATATGGTAGGCTATTGTCTTTTTCTTGTTGCTTTTCCTTTCTAGAAGAAATATTTAGTGACTGATGTAGAAACTTTCAGGGAGTGTTTGTAACTCATTCTTCAGGGCTGCTCATGTGAGCTTGAGTTTCTATATAGAATCCTCGATGTATCTCAATGTTCAGAGGTGAGAAAGAATAACTAAATTGTGCTTATTGTTGCAAAGATTGATGGAGTAGGATGATCTGATTAAGTCAGTCTTACTGAATTATTGCCTTATATACATAGAAAAAGAATAAATTATCAACCATCGAATAAAAAGATATAATTGTGCAAAAAGAATTCTGGGGACGTCCATAAATCATGCTCCCAAAGCTAGGATCATTTGTCACTAGAACCTTAGGGTAGAATTTATACTTAATTTATTACACATGCTTTTTAATGCCTAGGCGAAATTTTTTTTGAATAAGGTTCTGTTTTCATTTTTTTATTCCTGCATTCATGAAAATCAATATTATGAAGTTAGCTCAGCAGAAAAGCCTGGTTTGGGGACATTTTTTAAGGCTACAAAACTATTTTAAAATGTACATTTATTATGTGTTAGAGGCTATAATGCTTATTTAATATAATCTTTCTCCACACCTATTTCATTTTTCTTTTCCGTTTTTGAAGTGATACTTGAAGGACTTTCTCATGCTCAAAACAAAATTAGCTGAAACAGCTCTCAGAGAAATCTCAAGGAATGAAAGTCAGCATTCTGTCTCCATTAAAAGTTGTTGGTGTGGAAATGTGGAGTGAATCCCCATAGTCTGTAGCTGGGCATGAAATGGCTTTAAGAGCTTCATGCTGTATTTAGGCAAATCGTAACTGAATGGAGGCATTGCCTTTGTGTGTGGAGACATCATCCCTGTTCAGATGCAGAAAAGAAATAAATGTAGTTGGTCTGTGCCCATGCCTCATCCACACTCCTTTATGTGTATGCAATTGGAGTATTTCTTAGTCCATCGTGATCACATGTGTGGCTTATGTTGGGCAGGATTTTCTCCCACACTCCAATCTTGAAAAAAGGAACCTATAAATACTTAAAGCAGAGCTATGGCAAAGTAGAACATGTGTGAGAAGGGGATAGAGGATCATATCGAAGTTGTAGGGAAACAGCTTTTCACTTCCATCCGTCTTTCAATGCAAATTTATGCAAATATTTTGAAGCATCTCAAAATAAGAATCATTTAAAATATATTCATTCTGCTTTATAGCACTTATAGGCCAAATTTTGGGAGATGGACACAGGAATTTTCTTTTTTCTTTTTCAAACAACTAACTCGGTTGATTTCAGGAAGGAGTAAGCTTTATATACTCCCCAACCCTGCCCCAAGGGAGGAGATCCATTGAGGTGGAACCTGCTGAGGCGATGTGGTTGCTGTCCGTAGGTCCACATCATCTCAAGTCTGCTGTTGTCAAGGCTCTCTGGCAGACTCAGGCTGGCTTTCAGGAGATATCTACTGTGCATGCTCTTACTCTAGGTCTAGGCTGGCTGTTAGGGCCATTGAGGTTTAGTTATCCCACAAATGCTATTATTATTTATGCTGGGACACAGACATTTTCATAAAAATTTCTCACTATTTGGTGTTTTGACTTTTCCTACCCATATCTGCCACTTTTCCTTGACAAACTTGTAAAGGAATCTATTTTCCTTAATTGCAATCATAAACAGAGACAACAGATACACAGATATCCGTTTGCAAAATGAACTGATGTCCCCAGGAGCCTAGGCATTGCCAGAAATTGCACAGAGTGCCTGCCAGGCTCCCTTCCCTGATGGACACAGTAGCCCATGCTGACAGCGTGGGACATGGGTAACGGATGCTAAGCTGATGGCGCAATGAACATGTCCAAAGTCTAAGGCTGCCAGGCTATCTGTATATTATGGATTTCTTTTTCCTTTTTCCCTATGGATTCCTTTCTTTTATGTTCCACCTCATGTTGCCTGTCTCGGAGGTCATAGCATCATTCATAGTCTCCTTGTAGAATGAAATGAATCTTAGTCTGGTGGCATATCATTCAGAATTTCTTGCTGCTGCTAGCCATGAAGAAATACATTTCCTTTGATCCAGTGATTTTTAATTTATTTCAATCCTCATGAAATTGCTCTGTACTTTGAAACGGCATTTCTAGATAATGTCATGTGTGAAGTTCACTGAAACGTTAGATTCAGGGAAAATATTAATTAAAAACCATACTTGTCCAATAGTGGGTTGATATTTTAAAAAGGAAAATTTTAAGTCAAGTGTGTGAGATGATATGTGTTGTAAGGCTTGATTAGAAGAATCTGGATTGTGTGAATAAACAGTCAGGTTTTAAAGGAAAATCTATAAAAGAGGAATACACAATAGCAGAACTACCTTGTAGCTTGTCAATAGTAATTGATACATTGCTAATTCATGACTCAGGATTTTGCAGATTATAAAGTTTTCACAAATAAAAGACTAGAGCAGTGTTACTCGGGAGTTATAATTCTTGCCTAACATGCATGAAGCTCTGAAATAAGTCCCCAACACAGATGTGAAATAACGAGAGTATGCATGCACATGTCTGGAATCTCAGCCTTCTGGAGGCAGAGGCAAAAGATCAAGGTCATCCTCAGCTACACAAAGAGGTCAAAGTGAAAGTGTACATTAGACCCTGTCCACAAACAAACAAAACCACCAGCAGCAACAACAAAAAAGACTACTGTGCCGTGTCTGAGGTAGCTCAGCAGTAGAGCAGTGACTTTCCTGTACAAGGCCTGGGCCACATCCTCAACTCTGACAAATACGTAATAAAAAAAAAAAAAAAAATGAGAGATCTCCCTGAATCCTAAACCAGCTTGTTCTTCATAAGCTCTTTCTTAGCTGAGCAAAAGTAAAAAGCATGAAGCAATTACATGTTAGCATATTCATCTCTAACAACTTTTTAAAAATTATAATAATCAAAGCTATCTTTTTAATTATAGAAAATTTAATAAGTATAGCTACAAAAGTCAGGATGATTTTTAATGGGCATTTCAAGTCAGTGCTGTGTGATTTGGCTTTTGAGTCTAAGGAGCGTTAATTATGATTATAATTCATTATTTTATGAACTTCGTTGATGGAGCCTCTTTAGGGGATTATCATAATCTTCAAAAAAAAATCTTTCAGGGAAGTGCATCTCTGTTCTCGAAGCAAATTACAAATAAGAACTTCATGTTATTAGAGGTATACAACAGAGGAAATCAGAGTACATGACTGTGCAACTCTCCAAGGTGATTGAATATTCATTTGAATAACAATAACTTTGTTTCTCCATTTCTTGATTTAGAAACCTACAGGCTTCGTTTCAGTTTCCATTATCACAGTCAAGTCTGAATACCATTCATGTACTGATTTTATTTTTAAAGACACATTTTTTACTTGATGACATCTACTTTAAATTGTGTTTATCTTGTTGATGTGATGTATTTTCGACTTTGTTTACACGTGTTCTTATCACCAATGTATGTATTTATAGTGCCAGGACCAGTGCCAGTCAAATCCCTCCAAGGAACATCCTTTGAAAACAAGATCTTCTTGAACTGGAAAGAGCCACTGGAACCAAACGGAATCATCACTCAGTATGAGGTATGGGGAGAAAGGTGCTATTTGGCATGTAGATACAAAAAAAAAAAAAAAAAAAAAAAACCAAAGGAGAAAAGACAGAGAAAAACCAAAAAAAAAAAAAAAAAAACCCCTTTTAAAAAAAAAAAAAAAAAAAAAAAAAAAAAAAAAAAAAAAAAAAAAAGACCAAAGGAGAGGGCTAGGTGGAAATAATGGAAAAGACAAAGGTGGGGGTGAGAATATTAAAATGTCATCACCTTTCCTTTGTCCTCAAAAATTATTTGATTGAAAATTGTATAGTACCAAAAGATTTTCAAATTCTTAGAATATATGCTGACTTTGGTGTCTATGTATGTGTGCAACTGGACTCTGTCCTTGTCAAACCCAATTAATGGTTATAATTACATATAAAAATGCTAAGTCCCTATTCTTAAAATTAAGAAACCAATATCACATTGGCTTAAGGAGAGGCCATTGAATGCCTGTTTTTCAAAGCAAGTAATTATTAGCCCCCCAAAGCAAAACAGATTAAAAACCCATTTCAGAATTTCATTGTACCTTTGAATATAAATCACTATATTTTCAAATAGGAAGCTAAGGAGAATAAATGAATTTTTAAATATGTTTTTATTGAAGCAGAATTTCATCCCTTTCAAGTGGATATTTTTAATTGCACAGTTGTGAGGTTCTCTGCTCTATAGTCAGTCGGTGCTGATTATAGAATGAACATTTCTATTTCTTGTGTCTAAAAATAAAGTACTGGAATGAGAACAAATGTTTTTGACTATTTTAGTGTGTTGAAACACTAGTTTTCTACAATTTTTCTTTCCCTTTGTTTTGAGACACAGTTTTACTAAGTTAACAAATGACCATGAATTCACTCTGTAATTCAGGCTGACCTTGAACTTGTGTTCCTCCTCCAAGTACCTCAAGTCACAAGCCTGTGCTGCTAGAATTTGCTAAGTGTCCATTACACAGAAAAGAGAAGAAGAATAACATACGTTTGATGAAGACTTTCTGTTTTCATGTACATTAAACTATGTAGCTGGAAATTTCATATGGAGTATGCATATTTAACTATATCATTTTATTGGTAGATTTTTTTAAGACTTAAATATTTGGCAAGTTAGATATGCAGCTACATATATGAGTAGGTGGATGATAGAGAATTAATGAGATAGATTAGATAGATCGATAGATACATCTATAGATACATCTGATAGACATGCAGACAGACAGACAGATAGATAGATGACAGGTGGATGAGAAAGGCCAGAAATAGCAATACCAAAATGAAAATAGATGATAGATAGATAGATAGATAGATAGATAGATAGATAGATAGATGATGTATGAATGAGAGATGCCAGAAATAACCACACCAAAATAAAAGGAAGAGGAAAAAAATGATGACTCAAGGCTCTTGCATGCTGTTATTTAGAAAGGGCTTACTTACAATTTATTGTGCCTTCAGTTGATAATATAATGGGAAATATATTTCTTACAATAGGTGAGCTATAGCAGCATAAGATCATTTGACCCTGCAGTTCCAGTGGCTGGACCTCCGCAGACTGTATCAAATTTATGGAATAGTACACACCATGTATTTATGCATCTCCACCCTGGAACCACCTACCAGTTTTTCATAAGAGCCAGCACTGTCAAAGGTTTTGGCCCCGCCACAGCCATCAACGTGACCACAAATATCTCAGGTAAGCAAATGAGTAACATAGAAGCCAAACGGTTCATGTTCCTGGTTTGCAATAGCATATTTTAGACACTCAGTTACATGCTGTGTTACCGTGTAGCCTAGTATGTCATTTATATTGTTACATGTGGTCAAGGGCATTTTATTCAACCATTCGAGAACAAATCATTATTGGTATATTTTCTAAACCAAACACTTTTCAAACAGTCCTAAAGATGACAATAGTCTTAAAAAGTTACAGTATTTCTTTACCTCAGATCTTTCCAAGTCCTATTATAATGGACTTGGAAAGTCCAATTCATTTTATTGTGATTTAGATGAGGTGACAATTATGGTATCAGTTGTGTGCTATAAATGAGTGATCTCTAACAAGCTATAGTGCTCTTCCACTCTAGTATTAGAATGCCTCACACTTTGTTTCTGTCCCATTTTCTCTAACATTTTGATAATTGTAAACAAATGCCAACCTTCCTTTCCCACTCATAAAAATATCTCGAATAAATGCCTCAAATTTTTACACTAAGAACATGCAAGAGACTCTTGAACTGATAAGTAAATATAACTACATTTCACTTTCTATTATGTTCACTTTTATAATTTTCATTTGACTAGGTTGTTTATGGATTGTAATTCTCTTTCAGTCAACTCACCCATTAAACCTTATAAAGGTTCCTTTTGGACATTAGTGTCATGATGCTCCCAAAGTCTATTCTATTTAAGAAAATATTTCATTATGTTTAAGAATACCAAAAAAAAAAATATGCATGTGTCATGTGTCACTAAAGAATTCTATTTAAGAAAATATTTCATTATGTTTAAGAATACCAAAAAAAAAAAAAATATGCATGTGTCATGTGTCACTAAAGAGTTAAATTTGAATATTGTCTTTTGAAGGTAAACCACATAGTGTATCAGGAACATTTTTCTTTCATGAATCCTTTTTCTTCATCTTTATAATAATTCTATTTAATATATGGAAGCAGCCCCTCTCAATTCATGGTACACATTTTAAATATTGTCCTGAATCTAAAATTTGCACCAAGAGTAAGATATATGTATCTAAATTATTTAAAGTTTTATTTGGAAATATATTAAATAAAATAAAACTTTAAAAAAATATGTCATGTGGTGTACAAGCCAACGTCCAGGCAAAACAATACAAACAAATTAACAGCATAATTAATTTATATAAAAGTGTGCCACTGTTTTTCGAGATTAACTGTCTGCATCTTTTGATTATGTGAGAGTTTACTGTGTATATATTTTCTATGTATACTACTTGGCTTCATAAAAAAGTTAATTCTTAATTTTGGTTCTGTGTCAGGGACTGTGTTTTGTTTTCCTGTCCCTATCACAGCTCATAAAACTTTGCATATGCTTTGCATTTAGCAAGCTTTTGATGAGTGGGTGAGGTCTTTTTGTTTCCTTTTTCTAAAGCATCACCTGACTTGCCAGGGTTAACTGATAATCTATGTGTTTCTATGGGTCTCATTCCCGTAAACATCCTTCAACATGATAACAGCCACTTGAAATTTCTTTCAGCTCAAGGTTGGGGAACTCCTAGATCACAATTAAACACTATCCAACATGTTGAAAAATTATGTTTTTAACTGTTTGCCAATTAATGTACTAGTTCTTAGTAAATGAAAACTAGGATATCCTTCCCGTTACCACAGCCAACTATTATATTTCCCTTGTAGTCACATGACAGTAGTCCAGAGAAGAATGCTGGACCTTTCACCTGTCAAGGTGAATGGCCATGACAACTAGGTAGCCCATTACCTCCCTTCTGCCGTGCGCAGCCCAGGTCTCATGTGTGACTGTCCAGTTAGTACTAACTCTCCTGGTCCCACTGTCCCACCTCTTCCTTGCTGACTTAAAAATTTTGGGAAGCTGAAGTCAATGGGTGGCACAAAGTGATTGGAATATGAACGGTAGAAGTCCCCAGACAGCTTTTAAAGATTTAACAACCCCACCTTTCTAACTTCTTCTGCCCAGGGTTAAGGTTCAGTGTCATGCTATAAAATAAGGATCACTGCAGTTAATTAGGAATTAAATTGATTTTCCCTTAAGGTAGGATCATTTATTCATAGCAACCTATAATATATTGCTACAAATCGATTGAACTTTCTTTTCACCTCATTGGTTTCTGTTTCAGCTCCGACTTTACCTGATTATGAAGGAGTTGATGCCTCTCTGAATGAAACCGCCACCACGATCACAGTGTTATTGAGACCAGCACAAGCCAAAGGTGCCCCTATCAGGTAAGAGGGGGCACAATTTAAAGGAAAGGCAGCCAGTGGAAGGAATATCATCTTACGGTTGCTTTGCACCAAAGAACACGGTTCTTTCTAAAAAGCCCTTCATTTCACAGTTAATGCCAGGAAGGCTTTGATTTTCTTCTTTTGTTTTTGTCTATTCATTTTTTATTTGAACAAAGATTATGAACAGACATATAGTTAAGAGCAGAATTCTAAAGGCTTTTCTGTGTTGCTCTTTCATTTTCCTTTATCCCCATTTCATTTCACTTCCTGTGTTGGTATCTGTGCTGTAAACTCCTTGCAGGTCTTTGTTGAATAGAATGAGGAAGTAATTCTTGTCTGCCTCTGTATATCTGTTATGAATAATTTCATGTGAGTGACTGAATCAATAGGAAACTCTAAGGAAATAAACTCAAATGAAGCCTGTGTGGCCTTTCAGTTCTCAAATTATCAGAAATTCCATGATAAATATTAAAGTTCAACTTACTCGGTCCTTTATCTTTTTAATATTAAAATCTCTCATATTATCTACTACTGCTAATCTTTTAAAAAAAAATTCTGACCCATGTCATTTTTAGGAATTAGGTCAAATTACTTTAGCCTTTTTCATTTCGAAGCAGTATAATTAGATGAATCTTCAAGACTTCAGCAAGCTTCTGTTGGAAACCAATAGATATGTGGGCATTTTGTTATCAAATTGATAAGAAAATCAGATAGGTATAAAATAAAGGCCCAGCAGACAACAGAACTGAGCTATGCTGTGCTGTTTATAAATTCTTTAAAATGCAGATTAATCTCTGTTCTGTATGTGAAACAAATATACTTGACCTGGTGAAACTGATGTCTTTTGTCATCAGAGATGTACAAATATTTTTTTGTAATTAAAAATATGTTGCTATAAGAACATGAGTCACAAAGAAATCATGTAATTCCCACCTGGGAAAGACTCAGTGGACTACCACATTATGGAACAAGAGAGATGGTTTAGGGTGCTTGTAGCATGAATGCTTCGGCAACATCAGCTGCTTGAAAATTCAGTCAGTTTACAGTGCTGTTTGTGAGTCAATGATCTGTGAATCATGATTACAGATGTGGAGAGAGAGAGAGAGGAGAGAGAGAGAGAGAGAGAGAGAGAGAGAGAGAGAGAGAATGCCATGTGCACTTGGGTTTGGTGTATTCTCTAGGGACAAGTAATCATGGCCATACACATGTCCCTCCCTACTGGTGACAAAATTTACTTCATAGGTATTCAGTCTGTTCTTGACATTTAAATAGGTTCCAGCTTCTTGTGTTTGCCTCTTAGAGTTTATGAACATCTGGAGAGATGGTTCAGCATTTAAGAGAACTGGATGCTCTTCCAGAGGAAACTAGTTCAATCCCCAGCACCCATATCTCAGCTCAAAAATGTCTAACTCTGATCCAAGGGAATCTGATTGCCTCTCTGGCAACCAAAGCAAACTGTGGTACACAGACATACATTCAATCAAATAATACAATAAAATCTCAAAATATTTTAAATCTTTAAAAGAAACATTAGGTGAATTGAGATTTACTTTACATTTTATAATTATGATGATATCATTATTATTGTACCACTGTGCTGCATAACTTATATGACTAAGTCTTTGCTTACTTAGTCAAAAATTTTCTGCAAACTTTGACCATTTACTAATTACAAGCAAAAGATAATTTGGCCATAACAGAACACATAGCAGTACCTCTTTCAGGATTGCTTGGAATATCAAGGGTTAATCCATTTGGTATCTCCTGAACTCATAGACAGTGTTCAGGAATTCTGTGTGTTTTCCAGAAGTTTGATTAAATGTCTTTCTTCTCTTCTTTTGCTTTTATGTATAAATGATTTCTAACTACTAAGAATTCATACTGTCTGGACCAGTAACTATACAAAAATAATCTCTAATAGTCATTTTTCTTTCCCTGGCATGGAAATGGACCTCATTGTATTTGTTGGCAACACATTTGACCTTTCTGGGAATCGAGCCCAGTGGCTAGGAACTCCAAATTGTACAGTATAGATGGATAATGCACAGAAAACAAGTTGAGGGGCAGGAGAGTTTGCTCAGTAGGTAAGACTAAACCTGCTGTGTAAACCACGAGGACATGAGTTTGAGGAATCCCATGAAAGTCTTGTATGAGCACATTTGCCTATAATCCCAGCATTGGGGTGTAGAGAAAGGCCCATCCCGGGAACTCATTGGTCAGCCAGCGTAGTGGAAGTGGCAAACTTTAGGGTCAGTGAGGGACCCTATTTCAAAAAGAAAGGTGGAGAAGATGAGATGAAGAAATTCAACAACCTCATCTGACCTCCATATGCATGTATATGGGTATACACTTGCCTATATCACACACACACACACACACACACACACACACACGCACACACACACCATATGCACAAATACACAAGTGACTATAAAGTAGACTATTAGAGTAAGAAATAAGTTAGCATGAACATTTGACAAAGTTACTGACTGTTGCCAAAAGGGAAGAACAGTATGTTTTCTAACATGTTAATCCAATTAAGGCCATCTTTATTTAGCTGCATTTACACAGTGCACCTTTGGGTGGGGCCAATAGGCAGGACTAAACTGCATAGTCAGGCAGCACTTGGGCCTTTGCTGAGTTTGGACATGGCTTCCTTGATTTTGGAATCCTTAATTTGGGTGGCATCCTTCTTTTCCTCTGACCATGTTCCTCCCTCCAACCATCCACAAAGACACTGAGGAGTAATATGAGTTAGTCTACTCCAGTGTCCTAACCATGTCCTTCTTCCAAACATCCATGTGTCCCGCGCTATCGCCTCGCCAGCAAGAACGACACAGGACATTCGGATCCTTCTGCAGTAAAGCTTTAATGCATCTTGAGAGGAGAGCATAAGCTTACCAGAGCGGAGACCCCCGAGCCAAGAATCCCGTCCCCTAATAAAGGCTGGCAGCCGCCGCCTGGGAAGTGTCACCCTATGATTGGCTGCAGCTCATCAGGCCATATACGCCACGGAATAGGCAGAGATCAAGGAATGGAAAATTACCCAGCGCATGCGCAATAATCTTGTTTACATTCAGTGCCTGCAGGTGCCATCATTGTAATGGAGAATGCAGGGACGGCTCCCTACATCCATGCAGATACTTGGGGACTGATATGAGGTGGTCTAGTCCAGTGTCCTAATGGCTTTAAAGTGATGGTCTCATTTGATAGCATCAATTTTCCTACCACTGAGAAATGATCTGCTTCTACAAATCTTTTCTTGGATCCCATGATGCCTTTTAATTTTCTTTAAACTATTTTACCTTCTTCTCAATTTCCTCAGGCTTAGCTGCCCTCTCTGCTATAAATTTTGCTGCCCTTCTGTTCAGTGTCTTCCCCAGAACGCCAAATCTCTTAACCTCTAGCTTACCCTGATAGTTTCCACTTGTCCCCTGCCATCAACCCTGAATGATCGTTTTCTCTTTTTTGTAATACAGTTAGCCTCTGTTGGTTTGCATTTCACTGGCCATTTGTCCCAACTCTAGTACAGATGGACATTCTTTTGCTTGGTCTTAATGTCCAGCTACCATTCCAAATCTTCTATTATTACGTAAGAAATCCTTAAATTCAGAGTTTGTACATTTACTTTAGCATAGTCTTATTAAAAACTAAAATTAACAATAGTTCCCACATATTTAAAGATTCCATAGCAATCTATGCACACCAGGAGGTAATCTGGATATCTGGAATAGTCATTGATGTGTATCTGTGTCCCTGAGAAGAAGACAATGACTACATAGAGAAAGATGGAGGTTGGACCTGGCATTTTAAGGAGGGGAAGAAATGAAGACAGCTGAGGTTTACTTTGCGAAGGAAGGGATGTTGGGAGTTTCAAGAGATTGCAAAGCAGATGATGGGACATGTGACATCCTATCTAGAACTTCAAGTAGTTCGGGTCATTGACACTGAATGTAGGCAAATTGACAGCACCTCCAGCTGGAGCGGTAACAGAAGCCAGGGAGTAAGACTGTGCAGTGCCAGCTTGGAAACTGAAAGTAGCCATAGGACTACAGCAGCCCTTGCATGAGCTGCCATCTTTCAAAGGAAGGCTCACTCTGGTGTAAACAAAGTGGGCTGAGGCTAATTCAGACGGAGGCTGGAATGGTCCTAGTGCAAAGTGTTCATGGCCCATAATAACACAGTAGCAGTGGATATGGAAGCAAGGCTGTGTGTCTCACACTAGCCTTATGCACATAGGGTGTGTGAAGCTTAGAAGGAAGGGAGGTGGAGCCACATCTTAAAATGGCACAGCACAGAGAAGAGCAGCTACCAAAAATGTTGATTTTGGTTTTCAAGGTTATTGAAGAATGGTTAATATTTTCAGTTTGTTATCATAAATAAAAAATACACAATTTTCCAAAAACTGTAGCTATTTTGTATATCTTCCCTGACTTATCAGTATTTTCAATGAATATTATTTCTGAGAGATCATGGTACACACTAACAACCTAAATAATGTGCTCAGCATGACCAGCCTCTCTGGCTTCGTGTTGTGCACCAAGCTTTCCCAGGGCTGTTGATCAACAGTATGTGTAACTAGTCCTGAAAAGTGTCACTCTTCAATATTTATTTTTTAACTTTCATAGTCATCCAAAAGATGGAAACTCAATGCCTGACTTGCTTAGAACTTCAAATATCCTTTTTGACACTTCACAGTTATTTCCATGACTCAAAATGCTTATGGCTTACAGGATAAGTTTCCTAGCACACCTAATTTCTCTTGTTTTTTTTTTTTTCTAAGCAGCAGAATATTATAAACATAGGGTTTTCCTTTGTGTTGATGCTGAGTTTGTAGTAAGGTATTAGAAATAGATGTATATATTATTGCAGAATTTTCCGAATATGAACTTTATCTTTTAGGTTGTCAAGAACTCATTCTAGAATGATTTTATTTGGGAGTATAGTCAAATTTTGAATCTTAGCATCATGCGTTTTTAGTGAAGCGATTGGAATGTAGT